AAAAAAAAAAAAAAAAAAAAAAGATGTTTATCTTTTATTTTCTGTTCATTCTTTCCTGTGACTGTTTTCTATACTATTAATTTCCTTTTATTCATCAATAGGACCCCCATTTCACTTTTCTTTCTTCCTCATATCCCATTACCTTTTAAATTTTACTTTTTCATCCTCCAGTTCCCCACCCCCTATACCTTTACTAGTATAACTACTAACCTGTATCAGTGTCTAGATAGCTACTTAAATCTATGCTATTGCTTTTGAATAGTGTGCTATTGTTAGTAGAGATAAGGTTATTTCATTTAGTAGATATTTACTATAGGTCAACAGTAGGTCAATATTGAGTTGTCTTAATGTTCATACTATAATTATAGATCTCTTTTCTGTGGTTAAGGATGGTACATATTGGTCCTTAGGGTTTGTCAAAATCCAGTTTGTTTTTAATGCTTAACTGATGCTGATTTTATTACAATGGCCAAAGTGACATAATTGTTACTACTAATTGGTTTTCTTGGAATGTCAATCTCTGGATTGCCTTGGGGTTATTAATAATATGGTGGCCAATTCCTGGAGAGCTAGGTACTGGACCAAACACAATACAACTTTCTATCCCAAGTAAACAAAGGTCAGTTGGATCCTGGGACAAAAGCAAAGGCCAACAGTTTGCCAGGCCCAGAGGACACATCTGAAAAACAGACATGAACTAAAGAAGTCTCCATACATACAATAAAGGTTTCAGCTAAAATCAACCCACAAGCCTCAACACAAAACAAGCAAACAGCTGCCTCCCAAGTGCAAGGACCCGAATTCGATCCCCGGAACCAAAAAAACAAACAAACAAAAAAACCCAAGCAAACAAAAATAGAAATATGAGAGCCGGGATTTAGCTCAGTGGTGCTGCCATCTGCTGTGCAAGTGCAAGGTCCCAAGTTCAATCCCTGGTACCAAAAAAAAAAAAAAAAAAAAAAAAAAAGAAAGAAAGAAACATGAGAAGATACGGCAATAAAATGCCTCCCCAAACTAACTCCCAGTTCCCCCAAATCTGATTCATGGGGCATCAAAGGGGAGGAAACCACATGGTTAAATTATTGAAAATGATATCAGAGGAGATAACAAAACAGATCAATAAGGCATTTGGCAAACAAGATAAAGTAAACAGATAATGGGCCAAATAAACAAAATGGCATGGAACCTACAAAAGACACTAATACAAAGCTAGTAGAGCTAAATAAAATGATGCAAACATATGAATGACCAGCATAGAAAAGACTTGAGTCCATAAAAAGGGCTTTTACAGAAATTTGGGAGATTAAGAACCACTGCAAGTAGGGGCAACAGAAATAAGGACAGAGAGTAAAGCAATCACAAATTCTGGCAAGGCTTCAGGGAAAAAGGAACCGATCTACAGTAATGATAGGAATGTAAAGTAATGCAACCACTATGGAATCAGTATGGAGATTCCTCAAAAAATTAAGTGGAAATTCCATTTGACCCAGCTACCATCTAGGTATCTTCCCCAAAGGCTTAAAGACATCATATTACAGTGATGCATGTATACCCTTGTTTATAGCAGCATGACTCAATAGCTAAATCTTGGAACCAGCTTATATATGGGCCCGAGTTCGATCCTGAGTGCCAAGAAAAAAAAAAAAGGTGGTATTTACATACAATGCAATACTATTCTGCCATGAAAAAAGATAAACTTGAGTCATTTGTTGGAAAATGGATGCACCTTGAGACCATAATGTTAGTTAAGTGAAATAAATCAGACACGTGTTCAAATTTCACATAGTGTCTCTTATATGGGAACACAAGTTATAAATAAAGAGCAAACTAAAACACAGATAACAGAAAGTAGGGAACTAGATCTTTCCCTAATGGAAAAGAGATCAAGAGATGAAAAGAATTAAGGTTATTATGTGTATGTACCAACTCAACACAAGGGATGTTACTAGTAAAAACATATACTAGTAAAAAACATATATAAGTAAACATATACTAGTAAAAAAATCAGGAGTATTATGTAAACTCTATAGCAATAAATGAAAATCTAAATTAGCCCTGTACAATAAATATATAATGTGAGTCAAAAATATTAATTACAGGGCCAGGGATTTAGCTCAGTGGTTCTGCCGCCTACCTCTCAAGATCAAGGACCTGAGTTCGATCCCCAGTACCAAATATATATATATTAATTACATATGTAATTAAAAATTATCTAAGGGCCAGGGGTTTAGCTCAGTGGTGCCATCTCCTGCCTTGCAAACATAAGGTCCCAAGTTCAATCCCCAGTACCCCCCAAAAAATTAGAAAAATCATGTAGTAGGTCTGGGGATATTCCTCCGTGTTAGAGTGCTTACCTAGCCTGTTCAGGCCTTGGGTCTGATCCCCAGCATGATAATACCCTAGTAGCCATATTTAAGAAAGTAAAATGAATCAAATGAAAGTAGTTTTAACAGCATTTTGTTTAACCCAATGTATCATCCTAAAGAGCATTTCAATTTCAGATTATAATCAATATCTTTAAAATATTAAAATCTAGTGTTTCTTACACTTATGACACACCTCACCTTGGAGTGGTTACGCTTGACAGGGACAGATATTCAGCAGCTGCAGAGAACCCATATTAGATGACATTGATGCACACAATAACTCTTCTAGGAAAACTGACTTAGGAAGGAGTTAAAAACCTTTGTCAACCATTAATCACAACCTGAAATCAAAAAATCAGCTGATGCAGTGCTAAGAAAAGATACTTGGCTCATACTGAGGTGGGAAGTACAGCAAGGACAAGTAAACAACAGAGCAGTGAAGCAAGAATTGTGAAATCTTACAGAGCAAGGATGACTATGTCACTACAATGGGAAGCCAACAAACAGATCATCCTGCCCCTCAAGACCCCCAGACATATGAAGCCAAAAGTACACGACCCTAGCCTAAATCCAATCTCATTTGCATTGTGATTTTGGCACTCCAGCCCCTGACCCTGGCTTTGGACACCGTGATACTTTCTCTAAAAACCTTGTGTGGTTAATAACCCTCTCCCCATAGGTGAGCTGAATCAGATACCCCATTGGGCCATGACTCCTGTCAATCCCCAGCTACACATCCTCTCATAGTCTCAGGACGGCCCCTATCAGGTTTGAACTCTTCTCACCATGGAGTGTATTTTTGCTTCTTTCACATTTATTTATTTATTTATTTATTTATTTATTTATTTATTTATTTATTTTTGGTGGTACAGGGGACTGAACTCAGGACCTTGCATTTGAGAGGCAGGCAGTGGAACCACTGAGGTAAGTCCCTGGCCCCTGGACCTTGCACTTTTGAGGCAGGTGTGGTGCCACTGAGCTAAATCCCTGGCCCTCTCTCACTTTTAATAAATCTCACTCCTGTTGCTTCTCCTAAGTGTCCTGCTCAAATGTTTGTTGGGGATACCAGGAAGCTACAAACAACTCTCCTGAAACCCTCCATCTCATAACAACATGTTTTTATGGACGTTTTTCCTAAATATCAATGAACAAACGATCTTTGTTATATAATACAAAGCAGTTCTGATTTTAGTAATACAATGGCCTAGGCCATGGGGATAAGCTTCCTCACTAAAATCTAATACTTCTAGGGATAAATCATTGGCAGCTCTGAAGAAGGAATGAGGTAGAAGCCCAGAGGAAAACTGGTTTCCATTAAGATGGTGGGTGAATAAGAGGGAGCCATGGCCGACCTGAAGTGGGAGTGGAACAGAACTCTTGCTACTGGAAGAGCTGGGACTCAACGCATTACACCCTCCTTGAATGCGCAAACCAGAAGTCCACTCCTCTGCTCCTGCCTCGGGAAATGGTGAGGAAAGCTGCTATAGTAGGGAGCAGAATGGCAAGAGGAAAAACGATCCCTGAGAAGTTGTTAGAAAGCAGCAGGGCCCTTCACGTCTGTATGCCCCCCGCCACTTCATCTGGGTGGGCCAAGAACTTCAAGCCCTGGATATAAATTCACATGGATCTGAACTGATAGTATTCCCTAGGAATCTAGCAAAGCAAACACATTTCGTTTCTTTTTCTTAAATTTTTTTTTTTTTTTGTACCAGGGATTGAACTCAGGACTTGGCGCTTGTGAGGCAGGCAGCAGCACCACTGAGCTAAATCCCTGGCCCTACATTTCCTTTCTGAAGGGTCACACCTTTACTCAGGCTGGAAGAAATTCCTGAAACAACTTACCAAGTACGTGAAACATGGAAGGAAAAAACAAAAAATACACCATGAGTGGGAAGCCACAGAAACAGCAGACAATAGAAACAGGATTGTAAATTCTCAGATACTGGAATTACCAGGCATAGATAATAGATTATGAAATAATTATGTTCCTACTTTTTTTTTTTTTTGGTACCAGGGATCAAACTCAGGTCCTTGTGTTTGCAAGGCAGGAAGTGGAACCACTGGACATTTGAGGAGGATGGCAGAGTTCTGCCTGGACTGTGGTGATGCTATAGTCTTTTCAAGGCTCATTGGCACTGTGCTTTCTTCAAATGGGTGCACTTTTACTGAGTGTAAATTAAACCCCAGTGAAGTTGATCTTTTAACATTATAAAAGCTAAGACAGGCTGGGGATGTAGCTTAATGGCAGAGCATGAATTTATCACTGCACCAGGGATTCAATCCCTAGCACCAGGAAAAAATATATATGAGAAAAGAGAGATTCAACTACATCAATATTACTCATCTTTGTTTAACAGAAGGCAACACGGGAAGAGTTAACAGATGAACGATAGCTTGGAAGAAGGCATTTACAGTATCTAAGCCCAACAAGATACTATTTTAAAAATTTCTAGAATTAAAAAAAAAAAGCCAGGAAGCTGTCCATGGGACCCATGCATTAACTTCAGCAATGAGGCTGAAGCAGAAGGATCACAAGTCTAAAGCCAGCCTGGACCATGTTGTAAGCCATATCAAAAAACAAAACAAACATACAGGGAATCAAATAGAAAAATGGGGCCAGATGTGGCAATGCATACCAGTATCCCAGCACTCGGGAGGCTGAGGCAGGAGGATTGCCATGAATTTGCAGTCAGCCGGGGCTACATAGCAAATTCAAGGCCAGCCTGAACTACCTAGTGACACTCTGTTTAAAAAAGAAAGAAAGAAAGAAAGACAAAGAAGCTGAAATCCAAATGTCTAACAAAGTTCTGAAGATGCATTAGTAACTAGAAACATGTTAATTAAAATATTTATCAATCTTATTAGGAAGATAATTTTTATCTTAGACTGTACCAGAAAACAGAAAAAGAAAAAAACCATAAAGAACAAAAAATGTCTAGTTATTTCCTTCCCTCATCTCTAGGTTTATGGTGAGGTTCTTCATGGCAAGCATACTAATTTATTTAATATGAGTCATTAGTTGTTTCAGACCGGTGGCTTTGTTTCTACTGAACCTCTTTTTTCTCACAATGTGTTATTTTCTCGTGGAAGTGGGGATGAAAGTCAGGGCCTTCACATTGAGCTATTCCTCCAGCCCTTTTTATTTTGACACAGGGTCTTGTTAAATTACTCAGGCTGGCCCCAAAGTTGGTGCCCTTCTGTTTCAGCCTCCTATGTCCTGCAATTGTGAATTTAGTTTGATTTATTTTTGTGGTACTGAGGATGAGGGCTTTACCTACCTTAGGCAAGCAATCTGCCACTGGGCCACTTTCTTTGTTTTTTTGTTTTTGTTTTATAAAATTCATTTAGGGCCAGGGATTTAGGTCAGTGGTGCTGTGCCTGCCTAGCAAGCACAAGGTCCTGAGTTTGATCCCCTGTACAAAACAAAACCAAAAATTCATTCAGTTACAAAAATGCAAGTTGCAATTCAGTGATTGGTTTAGATTTACTGGGCTTCAGAACTCCACCTCTCCACTAAGATTGCTCATTGTCCATTTAGTTAATCCCCATTTCCCACCAGCCTTGGGAAACCTTTCATCTTGAGGTTTGTGGATTTGCCTTTTCTAGACATTTCATTATAAATAAAATCATAGGCCATGTGGTCTTTCGGTTCTGGCTTCTTTCACTCGGCACAGTCGTTAATGAACCTTTCATTTGTATTATTCATTTTATTTTTTTCTGTCGGGGCTGGTCAGAGCTCTGTGGCCCTCCTCCTACTCCCACCTCCTCCACATGGCTCCTGCGGTCTGAAGCAAGAGAAAGACCTACCTTTCCGCTTGCTCACCGGCTGACTCAATGAGAGCAGTCTGGCGAAGCATTTCCTCCTTTGAGTGATAAAGATCCTTAAAAATCCCAAGCACGGGTGCTGTGCCCAGAACGTTTCAAAACCGACTGGCAACCTTCAGCCAAAGCACCGTGTGCTCACCACCGCTGCGCTGCGGGCTAACTTCGCTCGCTTTCCTAAAGTAAAACCACATGCAGTCCTCGTAGGCCGTGAAGAGGTGTATTTTCGAGCAAAGGATTGAGAAAGGGGAGAAAACACCGCACTGTGGACGTTTTCCCAGGTGCAGGTACTGGAGCGTGACATTCGCTCTCCATGGGAGCCTTGTAGGCTGCTCTCTCCCAGCAGCACTTTGGGGTGGGAAGGCCACCTAGTAGATTCAGGTAAAAGCATTTTATTATCTGTCAAACAATGAAGTGAGTCAAACCACCTGGATCGAGGATGAAGCTTGTCAAAGAAGTCTTTTAGTTTTATCTCTAATGCGCTCATCTCTTATTCAAATTGAGAAATAAACTGAAAAGTTTTTACTTTGAAGTATTTCCGCTAACCCATCTTGAAGCAAGAGATAAGTCCCAAAGGAGCTCTTCGTCCCATCCTAGGAATCTTGCTTGTCAGGTGTGAGGATCGCGGGCTCGCGAGGAGCGGGGGAAGCAGGAAATCAGCCCCTAGAGACCGCCCGCCAGCAGCAGCTCGTACGCTGCGTTTTGCGCACTAGGAGGCAGCACCGCCCCGAGGAGCACGCGGCCGACCGGCAGCCACGATGTGTACCCCGGGGCGAGTGCCCTCGCCTGCCCCGCACCCTCATCTGCAAAGTAGAGGCGAGCAGTACTGGCTGGCAGGGTGGCTGTGGGTGCATTCTACGAGCGATTGAGGGTTCGCCTCCGTGGCACTACAGCGATCAGGGGGCGCGCGCCGACTCGCTGTCCCTCAATCTCCCATAACAGTTTTGAGAGCTCCGCGGCGCAGCCGATCCCTCATATCCCGGCGGGTCCCACCAAGTGGTCCCCCAAGCT